ATTCGGTTGCGTCGCGGCCTTGGCCGCCGCCGGGCGGTGGAACCGGTCCTCGCGCGTGCGCCAGCGGATCTCCGACCGGTACCAGTGGAAGTCGCGGTTCGTCGCCGTCCGCGACGTGAACTCGAATTTTCGAAAGTCGCGCGTCACCACGCAGAGCGCCAGCGCGTCCGTGTTCGAGCCCGGCGGCGGCGCTTCCACCCGCACGTCGAGGCACGTCGCGTGGGGCACGAAGAAGGGCGCGCCGTCGGAGGCCTCGGGCACGAAGAGGAGCCGGTGCGACGTCAACAGGAGCGCGCCGCGCCTTCGCGGCGCTCTCGGCGACGCGGAGCCGGACACGTCCGCGAGCACCTCGAGCACGATCTCGTCGAGGGGCGCGTACTGGCCCGGCGCGAACGCGACGAAGCACGCGCCGTGGACGGCCGACCCCGGCGGGTAGAGCGCGTCGAGGCGCGCGGGCCAGGAACCGCCGTCGATGTCCGCGCAGCGCGGCGGCCGCGGCGCGGCCCGCGCCGCGGGCGCTTCGCCGGAGACGCGCGCGACGTCGACCCGCAAGAGCCCGCCCGGCTCGCCCGCGCCGCCGACGATCTCGAGCCACTGCGTCGGCGCGCCGTTGAGGAACGCGCGGCAGGCGCCGACGCGCTCGTCGCGCGGGCCGCTCTGGGGCAGCTTGACGCCGTGGGGGCCCGCGCGCTTCCGGTCGAAGATCGCGAGCGTCACGTAGGCCGCGCGCCGCCTCGACTGCCCGGCGACGACGACGTCGAAACTGGCGCGCCAGGCCGGGTCGCGCGTCTCCGGCAGCGGCTCCGTGGACCCGACGAGGCGCCCCTCGGACCGTAACTCCACGAAGGCCGACGGCTGCCGCGGCGAGTCGCCGAAGAGGCCCGCGTCCTTGCCGAGCGGTAGGCGCGCGGCCTGGACGACCGTGACGGCGTACGTCGCGTCGTCGCGCCCGTCCGCGACGGGCGTCGACGCGCGCGCCTCGTCGCCGCCGAGCGCCGCGCCGCCGAGCGTCGCCCAGCAGTCGTCGCAGACCCGCTCCTCCGCCGCGGCGTCCTCCTCCAAACCGCCGACGGAGCCGAGCGTCGCGACCTGGCTCGTGATCTTGCCCATGGTCGCGAAGGCGGACCGCAGCGTCGGCGCCGCGGGCGGCCGCCGGGAACCGTCGCTGCGCACGGGGCCGAGGCGCATGCTCCGACTGCTGCAGGGGCCGCAGACGAGGCGCATGCAGCTCCGGCAGTGGTGCCGCCGGTTCGTGAAGGAGAAGGGCGACGTGCAGAGCAGGCAGCTCGCCGACGCGCTGTCGTCCATCCACCGGCCCGCGCCGTCCATGGTCGACGCGTCGGACGCCGGCCGCGGTCACCGCGGCGCGTCGAGGGATGTCTTGCCACAAGAAATGAAGCGGGGAACGAGTAAGATGCAGAGCTTAGCGACGCGATAAGATTTCGAGAAAATCGATGGCGAAGAGGCGTCCGCCAGTGGTGAACGACACCTTTGGAGAGCTCTATCTCGGCGCCATCACCACCGATTTGCCTGATTCTTGTTGCATCTGAAAGGGCTCAATGTCGTCTTGCGCGCAGAGCCAGTAACTAAAAAAGTTCAACAACCAATTAATCTGTATATCTTACTCGTCCCCGCCTCAAATGCACCTTTAGAGAGGCCGGCAACATCACCCTTCGTATCCCGTGCTTTGGCGGGCGTGTCGCGAGGTGAGGCTGCCCCAGCATGGCCGACGCCGCGCCGTGGCGGCGGCGGACCGCGGCCCTCGCCGCGGCGGCGGCCGTCGGGAGCGCCCTCGCGCTGGCGGTGTTCGTGCCCTGGCGGCGGACGGCGGTCCCGGCGAACATGAGCGCCGGTGCGCCGTCCATCCGCGTCGACGTGTCGCGGCCGGACTCCGCGAAAAGCGCAGTGAAAACACTGTCGGACGTGCCCGTGGGCGCCGGGCGGCCGGACATCGTCCACGTCGTGCTCGACGACGTGGGCATGAACGACCTCTGGGACAGCCAGGATTTGGCGCCCGAGGTCTTTCCGCACATGCTCGCGCTCGCGCAGGACGGCGTGCGCCTGACGAACTACTACGGCCAGGCGTTCTGCACGCCGGCGCGCGCCGCGTTGATGAGCGGCAAGTTCGGCCACCGCACGGGCTTCGCCAACGTCGACGTCGACAGCGCGGCGACGCTCGAGATATCCGCGTGGGGCAACTTTAGCTTGGCGAACGCCGGCGACCAGATCTTCCTCTCCCAACGGCTGGCGACGGCGGGCTACGAGGTCCACGGCGTGGGCAAGTGGAATCTGGGCCACTGCAACGCCGCGTTCCTGCCGCCGAGCCGGGGCTTCAAGTCCTATTTAGGGTATTACGGCGCGGGCATCGGCTACGTGAGCCACGAGGTCGAGCAGTCGGGCAACGTGGAGAACTCGTTCACGCGCCACTTCCGGGACTACTCGCTGGTGGACATGCAGCGCTGCACGCCCCAGGGCTGTTTGTCCGACGCGTCGGTCATCGGCGAGTACTCGACGATTTTGTTCACGAACGAGTCTCTCCGGCGCATCGACGGCTTCTCCGTGGAGAACCCGACCTACCTCTACGTCGCGTACCACGGCGTCCACGACGACAAGCAGTCCAACGCGTCGGGCCTCGACTACCCCGCGGCGGCGCTCGAGGCGCTGGAGGAGCGGCGGCGGAACTTCGGCATCGCGCTCCACGCGGTCGACCACGGCGTCGGCCTGCTCCAGCAGCGGCTCGAGAAGCGGTCCTCGGACTACGTGCTCGTGGTCCACAGCGACAACGGCGGCTCGCCCTGCGGCACCTACTGCGACAGTTCGAACGCGCCCTACCGGGGCATGAAGTTCTTCGACTTTGAGGGGGGTTTGAAGCTGCCCGCGTTCGTCTACTCGCCGACGCGTTTGGCGTCGCGCGGCACCTACGACGGCCTCATGCACCACGTCGACTGGACGGCGACGTTCCTCCGGGGTTTAGCCGGCACGCTGCTGGACTGCTCCGACTGCGACTCGCGGGACCACTGGTCCGCGATCTCGTCCAACTCCGACGACAAGTACGAGATCCGCGACGAGGTCGCCTTCTCCGTCACCGCGGAGGCGGCGACGCTGCGCATGAAGAACTACAAATCACGGGGTCCTTCAACACGCAGAGTTGCATGGACAGCTCGGCGATGAACTTCCTCTTCGACGTCGACGCGGACCCCTACGAGACCCAGAACCTCTACTACGACGACGCCTACGTCCACGTCCTCCGGGGCTTCGAGGACGAGGCCGCGCGCATCATGCGGGAGGAGTACGTCCACCGGACGCTCCCGCCGGGCTCGCCCGAGGGCGGCGCGGACACGATCGCCGCGTTCCTCGCGTCCTCGCCGACGAACGACACGGTCAAGCACGTCACGCCCTGGGACTGCGCCATGTCGTAAAGGTCCGTTCTTGTCGGGGCGGCGCGGGCGGCGCGGAGGCCGCGCGCGGCGCGGGTGCCGCAGGAGTGCTCGGAGGCGTGCGGCACGGTGGACCGCAGAGCGCTCTCTCAGAGAGCGCCTCGACGCGCAGCGCTGCACCGCACCCGTGCGCGCGCGCCGCAGCGCTCCGCACCGCAGCGCACGGCATCGCCCATCGCGTGCGACATCGCGCGCGCCGCCGCTCGCGCCATCGCGAGGCGACGATGCGCGCCTACGTGCCGTCGCACAACCTGAGCCGGAGCTACCGCGGCGGCGCGCGGGAGCGCGCGCCGCTCGTCGCGCGCGCCTGCGCCGAGACGCCCCAGCGCCACGGCGTGCCGTCGGCGGCGTCCGTCGCGCGCCTCGCGGCCGCAGGCGCGACGGCCGCGGAGCCGCTCGACGGCCTGCTGTGCGGCCGGTTCCGGATCACGAAGACGCTCGCCGACGGCACGTTCTCGCGCATCGCCCTCGTCGAGGACCGCCTCTTCCCCCACTGGCGGCGGCGCGTCGCCGTCAAGGTGCTCGCCGCGGGGTTTCGCGAGGTCGGGCGCCGCGAGGCGGCGGTGCTGGCGTTGTTGCAGGGCGCTCGAGGTCTCGCGATCCCCGAGTTCTTCGGCGCCCACGAGAGCGGGCCCCACTACGTCATCGCCATGGAGGCCTGCGGTCCATCGTTAGGAGAACTCGTGAAGCAGTCGGGGCCTCTGGGCGAGCGCGACGTCCGCCGCGTGTCGAGCCAGCTCGTGGCGGCGTTGGCCTACTGCGGCGCGAAGCGCGTCATCCACGCGGACATCAAGCCGGAGAACGTGCTGTGCGCTCGGCCCGTGCTCGGCGTCGACGCCGAGGTGCGGCTCATCGACTTCGGGAACGCGATCCGGCCGAGCGAGGCGGTGCGGTACTACGCTGTGTGGAAATCAAATCTTCAACCCGACTTCAATGTGAGCGTACGCGACGGTTTCGACGCAAGCTCTTCGGCAGTGCTTCGAGAACTCGACGAGAGCAATAGATTCGTCCAAAAATCAGCCGAATCGACTTCGATTTGGCCGAGCTCGAGAGGTTTGAAGTTTTTGCTGGACAGGGCGTTCCACTGGTTGATTTCCACACAGGTATTACGACGATTTCGAGATCCAGTCGCTGGGCTACCGCGCGCCCGAGGTGCTCGCGGGCGTGCCCTTTGGCTACGCCATCGACATGTTCTCGCTGGGCGTCGTGCTCGTGGAAGCGGCGCTCGGGCGGGCGCTGCTGCGGCCGGCGCGGGCGGACCGCGGCGCGGCGCGCGCGGCGATCGAAGCCGCGCTCGGGCCGTTCCCCGCGGCGCGCTTCGCCGGCGCGCGGTTCGTCGTCGACGACCTCGGGAGCGCGCCGGCGCCCGCCGACGACGGCGACCGGCGGCGGCGGCACCGGGACGCCGTGCGCCGGCTCCTGCGCGACTTCCCGCCGCGACAACCGGGCGACGGCGCGTTCGCGTCCTTCGCCGCGGCCATGCTCGAGCTCGACCCGGACCACCGCGCGACGCCCCGGGAGGCGCTCTTCCACCCGTTCCTCGCCGACGACTTCCCCTTCGCGGCCGTGTTTAGCGACGGCTAACCGGAGCGGGAGTTAAGTCGGCTACCCGTCGACGTTGAGCTGGAGGACGGGCTGGTCCTCGTAGTCCTTGGCGAGGGCGTTGCAGACGGGCAGCGCGGGGACGATGTCCGTGGAGAAGACGCAGGCGGCGCCGCAGCCGAACTTGCAGAGCACCGTCGCCCGGTCGTCGCCGCACGCCGCCGCGGTGGCCGCGAGCGCGTCGCGCGCCGCTCGCGGCAGGCCGAGGCCCTCGGTCGCGAAGTCGTCCGCGGGGACGAAGGCGACGACGAGGCTGCGGTCCATGCGGTCGCCGCGCCGGTTCACGGGGCCGTCGAGGTAGAAGTCCTCGAGCGGCGTTTTCGAGTGCAGCAGGACCGCGCCGGCGCCCCGCAGCGCGCGGTGGCACACGAAGTGGGGGAAGGCGTACATGCGCACGCGGCCGAGGCAGCCGCGCAGCACGGCGTCCCGCCGCTGGTCCCGGGAGAAGCCGCCGTCGCGGAGCGCGGCGATCTGCGGGCACATGCGCTTGTGGCAGCCGCCCTTCTTCCAGTCGGCGACCTGGCAGTCGCGGCCGCAGAAGCGCGCGCCGCACCGCGCGCAGGCCGCGAACTTCCTGCCGCCGTCGCCGGCGACGGGCTCCGTCGTGCAGCAGCCGGGCCGCGCGCACCGGCGCACCGTCGGCGCCGGCGCGCCGGCGCCGTCGTCCTCCCAGGCCCAGGCCGTCGCCGACGCGGCGCCGGACGGCCGTTGCGCCTTTTCTAAGACCTCCTCGGCCTCGGCCTCCGTCTTTACGGGGAGGTCGGCCTCCGCTGGTAATGCTTCGGCCTTTGCCATGCTGCCTCGCCAAGTGCAAGGTCGATGATGAAGCGCCCTTGAACGACTTCTTGAAGCTCGCTGACCCGTGCAGAGTCGGATGTCGAGGTTAAACCGGGCGCGGCCGGCCGGGGCGCGCCTTTTCGCCGGGGCGCGCGCCCCCCTAGGCGTAGGAGCCGTGCATGATGACGTCGTCGATCTTGAGGATCATCTTGACGACCTGCGTCGCGAGCTGGACCTGCTGCTGCTTGCCGATGAGGGTCTCGAAGACCTTCTGCTGCTTCATGTCGTTGGTGCCCTGCTGGAGGCAGTCGACGCCCAGGTTCGGGTTCTTCTCCGCGAGCTGCTTGGCCTTGACGGCCGTGAGCTCCGTGATCGGCGAGAGGCCCGAGTTCTCCGCGAGGGCCATGGGCACGTCGTCGAGCGCGTCGGCGAAGGCGCGGATGGCGTACTGGTCCTGGCCCGTGGCGTCGTCGGCGGCCTGGGACACGGCGATGGAGCAGGCGATCTCCGCCGCGCCGCCGCCGTAGACGATGCGGTTGTCCTTGACGAGGTTCCGCACGACGCACATCGCGTCGTGGAGGCTGCGCTTCGCCTCCTCGACGATCATCTTGTTGCCGCCGCGCACGAGGACCGTGACGGCCTCGCTGGAGGCGCAGTCCTCGATGACGAGCATGCGCTCTTTGGTGGTTCCGAACGCGACCTCGCGGACGCAGCCCGCCTTGCCGAGCTTCGCCTCGCTCAGCTCGGAGAAGCGCGCGACGATGCGGCCGCCCGTAGCAATCGCGATGAGCTCCAGCTCCACGCCGCCGACCCAGCGCACGGCCGGCAGCCCCGCCTGCAGGAGCAGGTGGTTCGCCTCGTCGTCGAAGCCCCACTGGCAGATGACCATGTTCGCGCCGCAGGCCTTGCACTGCGCGACCATCTCCGTGAAGTAGTGCTGCTCGCGGGCGAAGAGCTTGTCGTAGTCCTCCTTGGACGTGATGTCGAGCTTGTGCTTCGTCTTGGGCTTGGGCGGCTCGAAGGGGCACGTCAAGATGCACATCTTCGCGTCCTTGATCTCCTTGGCCATCTGGGGGTGGGAGATGTCCTTGTCGATGACGATGCCCTTGATGAGCTCCGTCTCCTCGAGGCGCCCGCCGGGCTTGCCCTCCATCTTGATCATGTCGAAGTTGACGTCGTTGCGGTCGACGTCCGCGACGGACATGACCGCGTCGACGGCGATCTGCGCCATCTTCCGCTTGTGCACGTTGATGATCTTCGAGCTCAGGGTCGTCATGGCCGTCTCCACGAGGACCTTGTCGTCCTTGGTCTTGTCGAAGGCCACGGTGTCCGCGACGTCGCCCAACGTTTTCATCGCGACCTTGCACGCGGTCTCGAAGCCCTCGGCGATGCGCACGGGGTGGAGCCCCTTGTCCAGGAGCTTCTCGGCCTGCTCCAGCAACGACCCGGCGAGCACGACGACGCCCGTCGTGCCGTCGCCGATCTCGTCGTCCTGGGACTGCGACAGCTCGACCAGGAGCCGGGCCACCTGGTGCTCGACGGCCATCTTGTCCAGGATCGTCGCGCCGTCGTTCGTGATCGTGATGTCGCCGTCGGGGCTCACCATCATCTTGTCCATGCCCTTGGGGCCCAGGGACGTGCGCAGGATGTTGCTCACGGACCGCGCGGCCATGATGTTGTGCTTCTGCGCCTCCAAGCCCTTGATGCGGCTCTTCTGCTGCTGCTCCTTCAAGATGATGAAGGGCCGCCCGTACTCGTCGAAGACCATCGACATGGTTGCGGCGAGGGCGGCGCGGCGCGCGACGAGCACGCGACGAGGACGCGACCGCGAGTTTAGAGGCGCTCCAGCGGGCGGCTCAGCGGTCGACGGCGAGCTTGGCTCGACACCCCGGCCAAAATCCGCTCTTAAAGTGGGCCACAGCCTGTGGCAAAGCCTGTGCTTGGGGCAGCTCGACGCGCGCAGCACGCGCTCCAGCGTCGCGCCGCCGCACCGCCTACCACAAAACACCACGCTCGCGACCCCGCGCCGCTCCCCGCGTCGCCGCGCGCGCGAAACTCGCGCTCGCGCGACCCAGCCCGCCGCGCCGGCGCCGTGCATGACCGCCGCGCCGAGGGCATGGGAGCCGCCGACCAGCAGCTGCGCCGCCTCTGGGCCGTCGCCGGCGGCCTCTTCGTCTTCGGCTACGCCTTCAAGTACGTCACCTGGGTGTCCGTGCAGAGCCAGGTCGAGGAGACGAACCGGCTCACGCACGAGGACGCGAGCCGTCAACTCGCGGAGGCGCGCGAGGAGGCGCAGCGCTACGCCCTGCCGCCCATCGACCGGACGGCCGTGAAGCCGGCCAAGGACGCGTCGTGACCGCGCGCGTATATTCTGCCGTGTCTTCGCGCGCGTCCGCGGACGCCGCGCGGCGCGGCCGCGGCGCGGCGGCGGACGCGCGCTACATTTGCCCATAGTCTGGACTTCTTTCTTGTCGCGCGCACGCTCTGGCGGCGACCGGACGGGCGGGCGCGGCAGGCGCGTCCGGAGGCCGCGAGTGGAACGTCAACACAATGTTGCAGGCTTCAATGAGTGACAAAACCTGCTTGAGCGCTCGCGCGACGGACCGCGTCGTCGAGCGCCAACGCGACCAGCAGCAAGCTAGGCCTCAAGCTTCATTGGAGACTGGTGCACCGGCGCGGCCAGCAGCAGCAGCACCAAAAATGATGCTCGCGCGCCTCGCCCCGTTGTTGGTGCTGCGCTCCGTTCGGGCCATGAGCAAGACGGTGATCCTCGTGCGCCACGGCGCCGTGGACCGCGCCGGCGGCGGCGTCAAGCCCGACGGCCTCTACGGCGGCGACGTCGACGTGCCGCTGTCGGCGCGCGGCGAGGCCGAGGCGCGCGCGGCCGCCGCCTACGTCGCCGACGCCTACGGCGCCGCGACGACGGCGGTCTTCGCGTCGCCGATGAAACGCGCGGTCTTCGGCGCGCGGCGCTGCGCGGAGGCGTGCGGCGTCGCGGCCGTCGAGGAGCGCGAGGCCTTCCGGGAGGTCAAGCGCGGCGCCTGGGTCGGCAGGACGCTCGCCGAGGTCTCGGCCGCGTTCCCCGGCGAGGACATGCGCCGGTTCCTCGGCGACTACGACTTCCGGCCCGCGGGCGGCGCGGAGTCGGTGAACGACGTCCAGCGGCGCGCCGCGGCCTGCCTCCGCGGCGACGTGCTGCCGTCCATCGCCGACGGCGAGTGCGCCGTCGTCGTGAGCCACCTCTTCGTCACCCGGTCGCTCCTCGCGCTCGCGATCCCGGGCACGCCCGTCGCGGAGATCGCCGTGCCCACGGCGTCCGTCTCCGTGCTCGAGTTCGACGGCGACACGCCCGCCGTGAAGCTCCAGGGCCTCAAGCCCGACCTCTCGCCCGAGGACGACGCGCGGCTCGCGGCGGGCGACGCGGAGACGTAAGGACGGGGTCAATGAGCCGGCTCGGAGGTGGAGCTCCACGCGCTTACTTGAAGTTACTTCCCTTCCAAAGCCCCGACCCACGCGTCGACGTCGCTGCCGTACCACGGCGCGCCGAGGAGCGGCGCGCGGAGGCCGAGCGGGTTCGGCAGGAAGTCGAAGTGGCGCGCGTCGTCGAGGAGGACGTGGTCCGTGCCCGGCAGGAGCGCGCAGGGCGCCGGCGTGATGCCGTCGCCCTTTGCGTTCCCGTCGCCGCAGAGGGGGAGGTAGGCCGTGAAGGCGAGGCCGCGGTCCAACGCGGAGTTGGCGCCGGCGCCGCCGAGGCCGCCCTCGACGGCATTCGACGCCACGGACGTGTAGCGGACGCCGGCCCGATGCGCGCCGGGCATGCGCGCGTTGACGTTCGTGAGGAGCCCCCGCGTCTGGTCGAGCTTCGCCCAGGGCGTGCCCGCGGGCGGCGGCAGGTTCGGCGTGCCGAGCATGACCAGCGCCCCGCACCGCTCCCGCGCGGCGTCGTCGCCGCCGCCGTCGCCGCCGAGCCACGCGCGCGCGACCCAGCCGCCGATGCTGTGCGCCAGCAGCGCGACGTCGCCGCCGGGCGTCGCGGCCTCGGCGCGCGCGAAAGCCGCGGAGATCTCCTCGAGGTAGAAGTCGAGGCTCGGCGACGGCTCGAGCTCGCCGGCGAAATAGGCCTTCGTCGGCACGGACTTGACGATGGTCAGCCACTTCAGCGGCGTCAGGCGGCAGGCGTAGACCGCGTGGCCGCGCGCGCGGAGGTCCCGCGCGAGCGCGCCGTAGTCGCGCGGCCCCGAGAACTGCGCGGGGCACAGCACGACCGCGGCTTTGCCGCTGCCGAGGCACGGCGCGTTCCGCGCCGCCTCCGCGGCGTCGTCGAACTCCGCCGCGCCCTCGGCCGCGTCGCGCCGCGACGCGCGCGCCAGGGCCATGACCGCGTCGCCGGCGTCGTCGCTCGCCCGCTCGAACACAAAGGTCGTGCCCTTGTTGCCCCGGGCGACGCGGACGCCCGACGCCTCGTCCAACACCGTCGTCTCGAGATAGCCGACGGCCCGGTTGCCGAGCAGGTCGAAGGGCACCGGGTAGGGCACCGCCAGCGCGCCGCCGAATAACGCATCGTCGACGAGGAACTCGCCGTCGCGGAAGCGGAACGTGAGCCGCGACGCCGGCGCGCCGGGCGCGTCGGGTTCGACCGTCGCGCGGATGACGAGGCGCCCGAAGGGCAGGTCGACGACGTTGTCGAAGCGCGGCTCGTCGCCGGACAGCGTGAGCTTCTGGGTCAGCGCGGCCGTCGTCGACGAGCCGGCGACGAGCGACTGCACGGGGCTCGGGCCGCCGTGAACGCGTAGTCGACCCACA